AAAAAAAGCCTGACCCCCCCCCCCCTTTTAACACAGCGCTGAGCTGGGGCAGGATCCATCACCCCAGGCAGACAGAGATGTGACCCCCCCCGGGGCTTTTTGTGGAGGGGGATGGTAGGGCAAGACTCCCCCCAAGGCCAAACCCTGCAGCAGCGTCGCCTCTGCAGCTCAGCCCTGGCCCTAATTAGGCCAGCGCCAAGGCCGGCAGCACTAATTAGGAGCTGGCTGGCACCGGGGATGCCTCTTTCCTACAAAAAAAATCCTCTGGAAGACGCCAGATTTCTTACCGGGGATGGAGGCTGCTGAGCTCCTTGCCAGGTTGGGGGAGACCTAAGCATGGACCCCCTGTCCCTTCTCCCCCCGCCCCCAGCCCATCACACTGCAGGCACGGATGGCTTCTGCCCAAATCATTAACCCACTGTCAAATATTTGCCCAAGTGGCGACAGTCTTTAGAGGAGAGTCAGAAAACGGGTGCACGTCCCAGGCATGATCGTTGTCCGAGTCTTTTCCCTGGCTCAGGGGGGTTTTAATACACCTACATGGCCCATGCGTGGCCAGCGAGCGACTGCAATGACTTTCTTGGGTGGCTGCCAGCGGAAAAAGCAGGGGTGGTTGTTAAAGGGAGGGTTTACATCTAGGGGAGTTTGGGACAAAGCCAGTAGAAAAGCTATAACCCCCCCCCAGATGCACAAAGCTGGAAGGTTTCGGAGGTAAAAGGGGATTTGGGGCTCTTTTTAGCTGCGACGTGGCACGGCCGCCAAGCAGGATGGGCCAATCCCCCTTCCCCTGCTCCCGCCGCTCTCCATCCCACGGGGCTTTTTAAAGGCTAAAGGAAATCGGTTATCACGTGCTCGTGGTATTTTTGTTCCCGGTGAAAGGGGGAAAAAAATCCCTTTCCGGCTCCCCAGCTCAGTCTGGGTCCTGCCTGCCACATCCCAGCGCCACCAGCATCTGGAACGCATTTTGTACAGCCCCATCCTGGGGCCTCCCAGAGCTGCCCCTGACCGCAGACGGGGAAAAAAAAAACCCTCCTCCAGCCCAGCTCACGCGTGTTAAAGCATCCTTAAATACCAGCGGCTTATTTGAGTCATCATTTTCCTAGTAGGGGCTGGTGGCTATTTCCATCTGCACTGGTCCTTATAGACCCCAGCAGAGACACGGCACCTACACGTCCATACATACCCCAGCATTAACCGTACCCTCCTTGCCAGCTCCCAAAGTGAAACCCAGCCTGCCTCTGCCAACTAAAGCCCCGACGGCCAGGGGCATCACAGAGCCTCTTTGCACCAGGTTTTGATGTTTCCTTCTTAAAATAACAGGGGATTTCGGGATTTCTTCTGAGGTGAGCAAGCCTGGCAACTCAGCAATACGATTACATACACTCCTACTCCCAAATTCATCACCAGGTCTCCTTAATTGCCTCCTGAAGACCACATGCTCATCAAACATGAGTTTCTTTTTGATTGCAAGAGAAAACGAAGCGAGGCTATTAAAAGGTCCCAGCAAATCGCTCCGCTGCTTTTACAGTTGGATGATTTTTCCAATCATATAATCTTTCCTTTCGGGATGAATGCTGGAGCGATGCGACCCGACAGCTCCGGGACCTGGAGGATGCCTTCCCCTTCCCCATCAGCTGTAATGCCACCAGGCACATCCCCACCTGGCTTTTTTAGGTCTTGTTGGCTTTGTTTGCTCATTTCTAAGATATCCCGAGGTTGTTGGCACTGATTTCCTTGCCAGTAAGTGACAGGGTGGGTGCAGGAAGGAGCCGTCACTGGGAGATGGGATGTTACCCCTCTTGGGGCCGGGAGAGAAGGGGAGCAGAGGCAGGGCTGCTGCTCCTCCCGGGGATGCTGGGGCTGAAAATTCCCCCGGGAGTCCCCGGGAAATGCACCCCTGGGTGTCCAGGTGCCACCCATCCCATTGTCCCTGTGCAGGGACATCACCTCTGCCACCGCCGAACAATCAACCGGGTGCCAGAGCAGCACCCGGCTTTTGCTGGTGGACAAGGAGGAAGTGCGCAGGGACCTCCCTGCCCCAGAATGGCATCCCTCCTGCTGTCTTGGGTGGAAAAAATGAGATTTTAGGGGGGTTATTTTTTTCAACAGGGAAGGGAGTGGACAGGAGTCGAGTTTTCTCCCACCTCCTTCAGCCCCAGGCAGAAAGAAACGCCATGTGGTGATTTGCCTTACCTGGTGGTTTCAGGCTGGGGTTCGGTGAGTGGGATTACTACAAAAATTCATAAAACTGCTCATATTTGCTTTTTTCCATGGCCCAAGCGGCTGCCCGAGGTTGCAGCCCCTCCAGGCGCTGCTTTAGCCAGGGAGCATGCCGAAGAGAGCGCCCGCTTGCCTCTGCCGGGGCCGTCAGCTCACATTAACTGGGAATGGCGAGCAGGAATCTGCCAAGGGCAGCGCGGGAAGGGACGATACTCCCATCCTTCTGCATTACTTGGCTTCCAAAGCCAAACCGAGACCCGGCAAGAAAAGCACAGTTAATTAAAAAGGTCCTTTCCTGCGTCACTCATCCGGAGGGATCACATTTTCCCTTGATTTTTTTTTCCCTCCCTGGAAGCTGCATGGGAGAGGGAGCAGGGAGCAAACCCAGTGTTGGTATGAGGGTGTTTCTCCCCACCGTTAAGCGATGCCATGAAAGATTGACGGCCGGCGGTAGCTGGGCACCAGGTATTAACAGGAGAAGCCAATTTCATGGGTTAAGCCATCGCCACACCCCGACAGCAGCGAGGACCCAGTAACTTATTCTTCATCCTTTTAATTAATCATACTCTTATCAGCCAGCTCAATCAGCTAATGGAGCTGAGTTAATTGGGTTTCCCATGCTTTAAAGCCTCCTCGCACCCCTGGCTGGCAACGACAGCAATTTCCTTGTGCCTGGCATCCGGAGGGGTTATTTTGGGCTCATCCCTCAGTGCTGGGATGGGGCCAGGAAAGACCGCGGGAGGCCAAATCCCCGGTGCAGAGCTGGGATGGAGCCAGCCACCAACCGAGGCCATTTCCTATGGGATTTGGGGGCGCAGGAGAGGTCCCAGCAGTGGGAAAGCTCGGAAAGGGATGCTCCCACCCTTGCCGGTGGATGGGGCTTGCAGGGACTGCTCCAGCAGCATCCCAAGGCCCTCGGCTCAACCGCAGCACGGTGGGGACCCTGTGGGCACCCGCTTCAGTCCAAACACCCTGCACTGCCCGACAGGGCAATGTTGGGTGCGGGGGGCTTCAGCTGCAGAGCCCATCTGGCTGTCCTCTCCCCCCAAAACCACATGCTGGCAGAAGCAGCCGAGGCAGCCGACCGCCCCCGCAGCTCACATGCACGGACTCATCGGGACAAGCGAGCCACGTGCGCCAGCCCACGCGGCTGATGCCCCCCGTCCCTAAGAAGGGACGCTGCTTGGCCATCTGCCAGTGCCGCTTCCCCCCCTCAGCCCCCCGGCTCTCCCCGAGCTGTCGCAGGGAAAAGGGGACCCCCAGCCCCTGCGCTCCGAGGGGGGTTGATAAGCCCAAGGCCACGCTCGCTGCGGGAGCGGCAGCCTTCTCCCCGAGGCAGGACAGGCGGGGAGGGGAGGGGGACTCGCCGCTCAGGCTGGTATAGCGGGGAGACTGTGTCCCCCTGGGCCCCAAATGCCTGCAGAGCTGGCCAGAGCCGAGGGCCAGACCCAGGCCTGCTGCCCTGCACCCCCAGGCACCTACCCCAGAGCCCCCAGTTAGCACCAACTGCCTCAGCTGCTGTGTACCATCAAGCCACCAGATTGGGTACTACCGGGTCGGGTACCACCGAGCCACCGGCTCGAGTACCACCAGGTCAGGTACTCGGGTGCCACCGAGCCACTGGGTTGGGTACCATGAGATCGGGTACAGCTGAGCCACCAGGTCAGGTACTACCAAACCTCGAGGTCACGTACCACCACATCAATTACCACTGGGTCAGGTACCACCGGGTCAGGCACCACCAAGCTGGGTCCCACCGAGCAGCCGGGCTCAGGGCTGGCTAGCAGGTGGGGGTGCCAGCCAGCCCCCAGCAGAGCAGAGGAGGCAGAGCCCAGGGCTCACCACCCCACACTGCCGCCTCCTCTCCCCTGTCCTCCCGCCAATTCCCCATAGCAAAGCCACCAGGCCCTGCGGGGAGCCGGCTGCCTGCTGCCAGCCACATTTCCATCTCGTCCTCCCACAGCGACAAGCTGGGGTCAGCGGGGCCTGCCTGGTCCATGCCCCCCTCCATGCCTGCTGCAGCATGGCTGCACCCCATGAACACCCCCAAATTGGTCTCCCCCCCATCCTCAGCCACCTGAAAAGATGCAGCCATGGTGGGTACGTGCTTGCTCCCC